TTTCTTTATCTTTCTCTACAGGTTTGATTTTTCATGTTAACACCTATAGGAGCACTTAATTTGCTTTAGAGGAGGAGAGGCTCAGTTTTGAATGTATCTGTAAATCAGAAGAAAATCCTGTGTGCATAAAACTAGTTTCATGTAGTTAATGATCAGGAGAATAAAAATAGTTTATGAAGCTGGAACTTAATTTGACTTTGCCATAGAACTCAATCTGACTTTTTTGTTAAATCATATATAGATATTTAGTTTGGGATCCCTCAAAATGTGGGCAGTAAATCCTAGACTACTTGTAGTATTAGGAATTCCTAGTTGACAATGTTTAGAAGTCTATTTGGAATTTTCATCATAGGGATAACAGCTTTAAAATTAAGCTGTTGTCTTAAAAACGGTTGTCTTTATTTTTACTGAATTTCTAAATTAAATTTGTTCATTTTATTCATTCATATATTCAGTCAGCAAGTAGTGATTACATTTTACAAGGCAATATGGTATGTTCTGAGAATACCATCATGGTTTTTTTTCTTACCAGATAGCCTGCTAGCTGTCTCACCTGGGCCTTTCTTTTCACCCCCTTTTTTATTATTAGTAGTACATGTTGGTAGTATATACTGTTTACACCCTTTATATTGGCACATCCATATAACACATCTTAACTGCTTTTTTCGTTCCCTTTCCCTCCCTTATCCTCTCCTCCATCTTTTGGCCCCTTTTCTCTTTTAGGTGTTTCATTTTATTTTGTTTTGTTTTTGAGACAGGATCTCCCTATATAGCTCATAGTGGCCTTGAACTATGTAGCTCAGCTTGGCCTTGAACTTGCTGCCTCAGCCTCCTGAGTGCTGGGAGCATGCACTACCAGGGCTGGCCCTTTGCCTTTTTAGAAAGATCACCTCCCTACTTCCTACTACCTCATCTTTTATTTTGTTCTTTTTTTATACTTTGGGTTTCTCATATAAAAGAAATGATGCAATACTTAGGCTTGTGTGTCACATTTATTTCTCTTAACATTATAGTCTTATTTTCCTATAACCTTTTGATTAACCTTTTTTGCCTTAGTTTCCTCAGCTAGCAGATGGAGCTAACAGTACTATCTTCAAAGAGTTATAACACTTAGCAAAGAAAATGTATGTAACTCACTAACAATAGCTGGCAAATAATAAACATATTTAGTAATATCTTTTTTAAATTTTCAATTGCTTTCTCTAAGAGAACACAGTGTGAAAAGTACCATATAAATGGGTTGTTTTAAAAGCATAGGCATCAGCCAGTCATGGTAGTGCACACCTGTAATCCCAGCAATCTGAGAGGCTGAAACAGAAACAGGGATATAGCTCATTTGAAGGCCATGGGTTTAATCCCTAGTACCAGCCAAAAAAGAAAGAAAGAAAAAGAGAAAAGGGGAGAGGTAGAGAGGGAGGAGACGTGGGGAGGGAAGGGATGAGGAAGGGGAAGGGGACGAAATGGAAGAAGGAGAAGGGCAAGGGAATATGGAAAAGACTAGCAGTATCTGGAAGGTTTATAGGCATCTTCAGTAAGGAGGTGAAATTTTTAAAATTTGCCCTTTAATGAGTGTAAGATCATTGCATCTACTCATCTAATGCTACAGCATCCTCACATATTACTGTCCCACTATGAAGATGAAGACACAGCAGGAACTGGAGAGATGTCTGGAAATGTGTTCAGCTCGCAGAGTAGGAAGATGCAGATCAGGAAAGACCTCCTGAATATGTCTAAGAAAGACCATACAGAGTTGGTATTACCAAGTCTTCATTCACATATGTTTACATATTAACAGTCATTAATTCTAGTCTCCCAGGTAATTTTTTTCACTTACTATTTTATCAGAAATAAACATATCACCAAGGGCCAGGGATTTAGCTCAGTGGTGCCGCCACCTGCTTCACAAGTGCAAAGTCCCGAGTTCGATCCCTGATACAAAAAAAGAAAAAGAGACATACCATGAGACATTTATGGATCCTTTTCAATATACTAGGCACTGCACTTCACCCTAATAATATACATAATGTGGTCCATTCCCTCTAGCAGGACTTCACCTGACAGGAGACAGACCATAACAGATGGAAATGTCAGTTATTTACTATATGCCAGTCACTATGCTGGCTTTTTTAGGTAGACTCATTCACCAAATCCCTATAATGATCCTTTGAAGAATTATTCTCATCATTTTATGGAAAAGATTATGTAGCCTCAGAGATGTTTGTCCAAGGTCATATAATTAAGAGTGTTGAACTTGATCCCAGGTCTCTCTGTCTGCAGAACTTATATACAGCCATGTATCACTTAACTATGGGAACACTTTCTGAGAAATGCACCATCAGATGATTTCATAGTTACATGAATATTATAGAGCATACACAAACCTAGATGGTATAGCTTACTATGCATATAGGCTATATGGGGGACTGGGGATGTATATACACATTTGTGGTGTAGCCCTTGCTCTTTTGTTATGATGAACAAAACTATACAAAATTAAGGCAAGCACAAGAGAAAATGATGCGATCACAACGAACTGTAGTAAACACTAAATGTAGTAGGCTGTGTAGGCATAATATTGCCTAAGATTTCACAGAAAAAAATTTTATAAGTACATACCCAATGATAAGGACAGTAGTATAAAAACACAAAAATAGGTTATTTTTTTATCATTATCAAGTGGTACGTTCAAAATTGTATGTGTTATACTGTGCTTTTTTATGGCTGGTGGCGCAGGGTTTTTTGTTATTTATATGGTTGTTGTTGTTGTTACTGGAGATTGATCTCTGGACCTTGTGCTTGTGAGGCAGGCGGCGGAACCACTGAGCTAAATCCCTGGCCACGGAGGGTTTGTTTACCCCATACAACCACAAACATATGAGTAATGGATTGCTCCATGACATTAGGGAACCAAGGACATCACTGTGTAACAGTAATTTTTCAGCTCCATTATGCTCTTGTTGGGCCACCATCCAATATGCCATCCATCATTAAACAAGACCTTGTCATACACAACTGTATTGTGAAACTATCTGCTACTGTTCTATCTCTAAAGAATATTTTAGTAGAACATAACCCATCAGTAATAGAAGTATGAATAAAGTATTGAGATCACCAGAAAGACAATAATTCTCAAATTCCAGCTGTTTTAATGGATACCTAAGAAATTGTCAGCTACAGCAAACTCATGGAGATGCTCCACCACAGAAATAGCACAGTACAGTTAGCATGATTTTAAAAAAGCATGGTGTCAGGGCCAGGGATGTAGCTCAGTGGTACCATGCCTGCTTGGCAAGTGTAAGGTGCTGAGTTTGATCCCAGTACCAAAAAAAAAAAAAGTATGATGTCTTCCAAGAGCTGGGGTAAGTTGTTTTATTTCAAATTGCTAATGGTATATTTTTGTAACAGGGTGTCTTCATCAGCAAATATGAAATCGATTAATAGGAAATAGTATTTTTAAAAATTTAACTGTTATATCATTTGTTAATTAGTTCTTAACATTCTCATGATGAGCCCTTGGCAAACAACTTATTTAGCACATGTGGCAAAGTGATACTTTTCTTAACCAATCAAATTAAAAACTGATAAGTAATATCCAGTACTTGGAGAATATTTTTCCATCACTAGCAGTAATGTAAATCAAGGCAGCCATTTTGGAAAGGTAGCAATATTTTAAAACTTTTAAAATTTTATAACATTTACCTTCTAATTCTTGTCATAAAGAAATATTACTGCATGTTTTTCATAGGTATTTGTTGGCAAAAACTGAAAACTTATATGTCTAATTGTAAGGAAATGGTTGGATAAATTATTCCTAACACTAAATGAAGAATATAATAGCATGTCAAAACTTAAGTTATAAATTTGTGTCCACGCCAGGGGGTGTGGCTAGAGGAAAACGTTTGAAAGGAAATGCACTAAATATTACTGCTTAGTTGTATTTGCTGATTAGACAGGAATGGGGAGGATTTTGTATTTTTTCTTTATACTCTTGGGAATTTGGTTTTTTTTTGAGGGATGGGTTGGTTTTTTGACTCAGGGTCTCCCTTTGTAGTTCAGGCTGGCCCTGAACTCACTATATAGCCCAGGTTGGCCTTGAACTCATGGTGATCCTCCTGCCTCAGCCTCCCAAGTGCTGGGATTGCAGGTGTGTACCACCGTGCCCAGCCGCTTTTGGGGATTTCCTATGGTTACACTGATGATTCTGAACTACTTCAAAGATACAGCAAGTGAAATATCAAGGTGCTGAATAGATGACTGGGAGACCTGAGAAAGTAGAGCTAAGTTCTTAGTAATCGTAATAAAACTGCTTCTGGCACCAAGTAGATCCTTTTTTCCTGTTCAGGGAGTCTGCTGTAGAAAATGTTGGGAACTAGTAGACTTTATTGCCCAAAGGAAAAAAAAAATTTACCCTGACAGGCTTTAATTACTGACTTGATTTTACTTAATCATTTACATTTGCCCTTGTTCAAAATCTTATTATAGGTGGGGAAAATAACCATCTTCTTAAATGACAAGCATTTATTTAGATCACTGTTCTTTGTGTCTCATATTATAGGACTGCTGACTTTTCTTTCCCTTTTTTACTATTCAAAAATCTATAAAATGGCTTGAAACAAGGGTAAACAATATAACCTGCAACCTAGATAAAATATAATTTCAACCAATAGTGAACATGATTTAGAAAGTTTATTGTATTATTTATAAAATCACTATAAAGAATGCGTAATTATTTGAAGAGGCATTTTTTAAAACCGGCTATATTAACCCAAAGTAAGTATAGGTCTGACACTCAGAAGTATATTTTACTGAAATGTACATTTGATGCTTTTCTCAAGTATTTCATTGGCACTCTAACTTTTTTTTTTAATGGGCACCTCCCTAATTTGTTTTTATGATTACCAGATTATTACAGTAGGATTATTTTTAAGTCTTCTCTTAAACATACACATTGTTTATATACCAACACTTGTATCTAATTTGAAATATCCTTTTCCCTACAGATTTCTAAACAAGAACTGAAAAAAATGGATACATTTGACGGAGGCATGGCTGAAACCTCCTCTCGATATAGTGGTGCTCAGGACAGCGGAATTGGCAGTGACAGCATCAAAATCAGAATAGTGCAAATCGAGCAGCAGAGTGGTGCCAGTCAGCACCGGATCGCCCGTCCCTCACGCCAGTCATCAATCGTAAAGAATCTCAATTTCATTCCCTTTGACATATTTATTACTGCTAGTAGAATCTCACTAATGACCTATTCTTCAAGGGCCTTGCCCAAATTGAAATCACAAGAACAGAAGGAGGATGGAAAAACAGGCAAGAGTTCACTAAATCTCCCAGAAGTTGATTCAGATGTTGCTAAGCTCAACCAGGCAAGTATTTCCACAGTGACAGCAGAAGATCTCTTCAGAAGTAGCACATCTTTAACATCAGGCAGAAAAATAGGGGTTCTCTCTCTTGAAAGTCTTCATGCATCCACAAGGTCATCTGCAAGACAAGCACTTGGCGTTACTATCGTTCGGCAACCTGGTCGAAGAGGAACTGGTGACTTGCAGCTAGAACCGTTTCTGTGTTTCATTGTGTCCCAGCCTTCCTTGCTTCTGAGTTGTCATCACAGAAAGCAGCGAGTGGAAATATCTGTTTTTGATGCTGTGCTTAAAGGGGTGGCTTCTGATTACAAATGTACAGGTAAGAGCCTTCCGATTTACTGGAGTGCTAGTAATTACTACTGTATTAAAAGTTTTATTCCCATAGCTTCAAGACTGATCGAACAAAAAACAGCTGGCAGACGAGACAAGCCTTCTTTTCTCTATAGAATATGTAATGTTCATGACCCACAGCTGAATCATGTTTAAGTAAATGTTTGAAATTCAGAGAGGTATAACTGAATGAAACAGAGACTCTATCTTGGAAACAGAGATGCTTAACAGTTTCTAGCATTTCAGAAGCGTACCTTTTTGTCACATCAGTGCCCCACAGGTATGTTTTCCCATGTCAGTGTAGCTATTCAGGTCTTTTTAAAAAAAGAAAAACCTTAGAATATGAACTGCATTGCTTTGGTATTCTTTTGATCTATTCAACTCACTACAATAGCATAAAATATAATCAAGAAAATGTATTAATAAAGTGAAATGATTTAAAGGTATTTATACATTTACAACAGAACCTTTGTTAATGGCTTTGACTAACAGGCTCTTTTTGCACCAATCACATTCATACCTTCCTTATAACCAGAGGGCCTTCTATAGTATAAAATGAAACCTCTGAAGCCTTTTGAGACTACAAAGGTGAGCAATTGCTCATATTTAGGATGTACAAGCTGTTAAGTAACAAGGTCCAGTGGGAAATGAGTCAAGCAACATGTAACAAGAGACTTTTCTCCTGAGTTAATGTAGAATTGGAGGTTTGCATCAAAGACTTGAGACAGTAGCTCGTCATCTAAGACTGAATATTTAAAGAAGACCCTAGCAACCACAGGTGTCCTGCAGGCATTGTATTGTCAGCAGGTGAGCCAGCCTAGCAGATGGAAGCCAGCAATGAGGCATTTAGAGAATTGGTCTTATCTGAAAGTTAGGTTAGTTTGTTCTTGGCATTAAGGAGAAACATTTTGCATAGCAGGTTCGTGGAGAATAGATAGCAAATGTAGGGGGCAAGATTCAGCCCAAGCAAGTAGAATCAAAGGAAGTTTAACTTTTGCCAATGTTTCATGAAAGTCACTTACTTTAGAAAAGAATAACTGGCCAGTTGCTAAGGAAGAATGACCTAGAATTATCCCCTACTATTTATTGGTCCTCTTTCTAGTGGTGTGCTGAAGCTGTCTAACTCGTTCATCCTGATGTAAGTCAGTGGACTGTTAGACTTTCAGGATCTTTGTGAGCCAGTTGTTAAATCACAAGTACCTTAAGTTAGCCATAGTGAGAGCATACCACACATATTAATGTTGTCAATCAGGTCTCTTATTCTAACATCTATTTTTTAAAGAAGTACATGTACCAACTCCACACAGTAAATATGTACTACTACTACTAAAAAACAAAAACAAAACAAAAAAAACATTTACTAGCAACCAGTGCCCCACTTCAAATATACACTGGTTTACTAAGTACCTATGACATTAATAGGTACTGCAGGAAATGGGATGATGCTGGGGTAGTGGAACATGTTATATAACTCAGGGACTTATGTCTACATATCAGTACTGGGGTTCAAACTCAGGACCTTGCTCTTGCAAGGCAGGTGCTATGCCACTGAGCTCACTCCCCAGTCCTCAGATAGCTCTTTGAAGGTATGCTTAGAATTGGCTCCAACTAGGTATGGGATGAGGTGACTAAATATTAATTCTCTACTCCTCCTTAAGCTCATTGACCTGCACTCACTCTGTAGGTAGATGGCTTCTTCAGTGGCCTCTGTTAAGAGAGACTGGGAAGAGAGTAGGAAGACGAAAGGGAGCTGATATAAAATCGCCTCTTCCCAAACTTGCATTTGTAGATGCACAGTCATCACAGAAATCTCATTTTGCCCAACCTTCAAGACCAACCTAAAGATAGTCTATATATCCTCAGCATGTGTAACTAGTTGTTGCGCTGAGGCAAGCCAGGGTCCACAGTAATAGAAGAAAACTATCAGTGGGGTTTTTCTATTTTCCAAAAATAAGGAGGAAAGTTTATTTTAATCCATTTTATTAATGTACTCCAAAGTCATGTTTATACATTTTCATCTAAGTGTAAATTCAGCAGTTATAAAGGTTCACTCCAAAGATATTCATTTGAATTATTATGTTTCTTTCATTGCTGAGACAAAATACCTAACACCCAAAGTTAAATGAAAGGAGTTTATTTGGCTTACAGTCTGTAGAAATTTCAGTCCATAATTGTCCAATTCCAAGGCAGGGTTGACAAACAGCCTGGCAAAGCAGAAATAACATGGTGCACACAAGGCAGCAAAGGTAATGGGACCTTCATTGAATCTGCCTCTTTTTATTTTATTCAGACTGCTCAGGGTTGGTAGCATTCACACCCTTAATCCTAGTGCCCTTGAGCCTAGCATTGCATCATGAATCAATTCCAGCATCACACACTTTAGATCAAGCCAAGACCACATGAGGCTTTGGGGGGACATCTGGACTCAAACCATAACAGTTATAATCTCTTCCTTAGTTACAATAATAAAGTACTTCTTGTTAGGAGAAAAATTCTTTTATATAAATATATTTTCAGCAGATGAAGCTAGAGTAGAGGTCATGGGCCAATCATGGGTACCTATGTGGGAGGAAAATGTCTAACCTTTTGAGAAGCATAATATTCCTGTGGTTGCCATTCCTCACACGGTAGGCATCTACTTCAACGTGACATAATCCAAATATGATAACACTTAGTCATAGCAAAGTACACAGTAATATTTCTTAAAAATGAATTTGGTGATCTTGTGAAATTTATCGAAAAGCCAAACAAGCAAGTAGTTAAAATACAAAAACCTCAAAAAAAAAAAATGTAACGTTTATTGATTATGCTAGGTATTGTACTCACTGCTACTCTAACATTATTTCACTTCATCCTAATTAAATTCCATCAGAAATGTTACATTTTGTATTACAAATTAGGAAACTTAGAGAAATGAATTGCCCAGTAAGAAACAGAGCTGTAATTCAAAACCAAGCTTTGTCAGAGCTCTGCATCTGGACTCTCAAAATCAAAGTGGAGAAAATGAAGTGGATCCACAGTTTTCTCTGTTAGCCTGTATTGTCCTACTCTCAACCATGCCAATGGTTCCCCCCACAAATTTTACCTGGTACATTTGTATTTCTTAAACATATCCATGCTGTGATTACACAGTACAACATTTGTTGGTGGCATAAGAAACCTGGGTTCAAATTCTGACACAAGTGGTATTCTTATCTCATAGTTTAACTGTGAAAATAAGAGATAATTTAAAAGTAGTTGTAAACTACTTAACTCACATAAATGTATGTTGCTTCTGCTTTAGCTGTTACTGTTAAATAGTAAAAAGATTATTAAACTAAGAAACAGAAAAGCTAGATTTTTGTTACTGGGCCTGCCATTAATTGTCAGAGTGATCTTAGCCAGGTACTTCACTTCTTTGAGTTTCAGTTTCCTTACTTGTAAAATGTTATGACTATAAAAGATATCAACAAGGACCATTCCAGTTCAAAAGTTTTATCATTCTATAATTTAAAATTCATCTTCCTACAAGTGCCTTTCCAAAATTTTTTAACTATACTCCTTTGGCCTCAAGCGGTAAGCCACTATCAGATCAGGTAGTTCTTGACTTGTTTTAAAAATAGAAATTTTCTTTGACACTCTAGAAAAAACACTGACTAGTTTTTTTTGCTATTTTAAATATATGAAATTTTTAAAATGTTAATAAAATTATTTTTCAAGAACTGATCTGGAAAATTCTGTTTTAAATTGATCCCCTTAAATGAACTGCTACAATCTCATTATCAAATTGGTTATCCAAAAAGACTTTATAGAGCACTTGTCCAACCTCCATGAAATCTTTGCTCCATGTCTAATAGTCTTTGGAAATACTGAGATAGTTACCTTATTGATAGGAATAATATGCATGCTATAATGTTAACATTGATGAGAAGGGAGGGACAGTAAGGAACAGTAAATTGGAAGGCTGCTAGCTGTTTCTGATTCCAAAAGTTAAGCAATTAGTGCCTTTTAATTGAAGAAATTAAGGGAAATTTAAAGCTATCATAAGTTCACAATGAGAAAAGAAACATATCTTTCTACAGTATTCATACTTTCTCTTTAGTTATCACAATTACTCATTTTCTATAAGGTACCAGGTGATGGCTTGGTGTCTTAGTTACTTTTCTCTCATTGCTGAGACTAAATACCTAACACCCAAAGTTAAAGGGGGAAGGTTTATTTGTCTTGCAGTTTGTAGAAGTTTACAGTCCATAATTGGCTGGCTCCAAAGCAGGGTGCTACATGACAGAGAGGCAATGGAGAGGAGAAACATGGGGTGCACAAAGTAGCAAAAACAACAAGGGACTTTAACAGTGTCTTTCTGCCCCTTTTATCTTGATCAGACTACCGGGATTTTAGGGCAGTGTCAAACCAATCACTCACGTATAGTGATTTAGTAATCACATTCCCTTAATCCTAGCATCAAATACTCTAGGTTATCCCACCTATGACCCCATGAGGTTTTGAGGTGACATCTAGACCCAAACCATAACACCAGGCAGTAGCAATTTTAGCATATACGTGCTCTCAGTGATCACGTCATTTCAACATTTCAAACTTGCCTGAGGTTGACAGGAAATAGTTTCATTTCTTGAGTTTTTGTTTTTGTTTTTATAAATTTTTAGCACAAAAGTACTTAGTTACAAAAAGACCTAATACAATCTGGCTTGTGTTTATTGATTTCTATGAAAGTCATAAACCATTATTGCATGTGTTCATGTTTCTTGTTTTTTGTTGTTGTTCTTGTTAGTGGGGATCAAACACAGGAACTTGTTATTGCAAGGCAGGCCATGGCACCACTGAGCAAAATCTCTGGCCTGTGCTTATGTTTCTTTATATGAAAGTCATATGAAATAAAAAGTAAATAAAGGAGTTTATTTCATTCTTCAAAAAGCTTATCATGTTCACAGAGTTAGTTCCTATATAAATATAAAATGAATATATGTCAAAATATTTTATATAACTCAATGA